ACCTCGGAATGATTGTGTTAAGCTAGCTCTAAGTCCCTCCCCCATCCACCTTTATTCTTTCCTTTACGATAAGGCTTTCAAATAAGTCGTGGTTGTACGGAAGTGAAGCATCGGTGTTGAATACTGATGTCATGCTGTCGATGATGATGATGATGATGATGATGATGATGATATTGTGATAGCTACTTGGAAAGCCGGTTGTTCAACTGGAAAGCGGATTTTCGACTCATCCCGTCGTAGCATTCAGTCGCCGTACAGCATGTAGGTCCTGTACATCGCGGAATACTTAGCCAGCACACTACCGATGAAAGCGTCGTTCAAAAGCACAGTTCGCCAAAATCTTGTACCATCGCTTTGGAGATGCCTTTTGACGGAAATTTCACCAAAATGTGACTACGCGTTTGATAGTGCGTTTCGCAGCTCCACACTGGACAGTATGTTCATGTACTGCTTCTTGTTATATTCTCAACAGTTTAACATTATGCAGTGAACGGGTAATTCCAACTTGGATCGTTAGAAAACTAAAACGTCTTGTTTCGCTTCGCTGTGTAGCTTCATTTGGAAACAATTGCCTGAAAATGATTGGGCGAATCCACAAACCCATGGGTCAAACTAGCTGGTGAATACTGGTGTTGTTCTACACCGGACTGCATCTTCATACAACATCACTGTCCGCCACACAGACAACGGTGTTCCGCTTCATCCAATGTGGAGACGGGTCAACAGTTCACTCATCTGAAATAGCAAAAACTGTGTCAGCCCGGTAACAGTTGCTCTAAAGCTGTTCCGTGGCATTATTAACGCAGGGTAATTGTGTATCGGGAAAGACAAATTAATGGTAATCAACCTATACATTGCCCTGACGATGGATGCATTGATCGTATCTTCACTTTGAGACAGGTGTCTGAACTCCACCATTCTTTCAAACATCCAGCGAAAGTCGCTTTTCCTGATCTGGAAGCTGATTTTGATTTATCTGATCCTCAGGAACTTTTCCGGTCAGAGGTGTCCCTTTGAGGCATATAGTTTCGATTAAGAATGACCCTGAAAGGCCTTTTTGGTTTGCTGACCGCCCATGATCGAGCATTCTATCACTGATTGTCATATGGTGATTCTGTGTGTAGTAACGGCACTTCTCTATTGTATAAGTGCCGCCTAACGGACGGAAACACGGAGGACAATGCTAGTTTCTCCAAGCGTAGAAAGTTATGGCTAGAAAAGTTGTATTCACAAAAGGCATACCCAAATCTTGAGCCTCTAAACCGTTTCAGGCCGTTTAGAGGGCAGAAAATATGACTTCGCGCTAATCACACAGTTAATATAACAAAGTAGCTGATTGTCAGGTGATCAGCGATTTATTCCTTCACATGACAATTCTTACAAAGCCGATGAAAATCCCGGTAGTTTCGCCCTTTTGGGGGCTCAGTTTTATTTCGTGCTTAGAGACCAGCCTGCTTGTGCACGAATAAAAACCATTATCCACAGCGCTCCCCTTGAGCCTCACATCGGTCCAAACTAAACCTTCTACTGTAATACAAAATTTCGGTTTGATAAGACTCCGCCGGATACAATCCGTCCTGAAGGTAGTTTGACCAAAACTCAGTTTTCACCTCACTGGCATACTGTCGCGTATGGTTAGCGGTGAAATAGTCCACTAACGGGGTCAGAGTTGGTGTTGTAGTGTTAGAGTGCGCACACAAGGCACAGAAGGCATGCTGTCCATTTAACTGGGGTCTTCTAAAACCGTTTCAGTTCCGTCCAAACCATTTATACGTTTCGTACGAAACATGGCTGCCGTCATTAGTACGGCGGCTAAGATATACAAGTGATGTCTTCATCTCGCTTAACCCAGCAATATGTTTATGGAAGGAGTTTTGGTTTATTCATTTTTAAGGGATAAAGCACCACGAGCGTGTACAACTCATAAAGATGTGCTGTAGTATGACAGCACCCAGGCTTGTCGGTCATTTTTCCAAACAAGTTCCGAGCAGTTTATTTCAAACTGACCAACGAAAGGGGAACTGAAACTGATGACACACAAAAGACAACAGAAATGTTCTTGCGAGCACTTAATTGGGCCACCTAACGATTGCGTATAGGACAACGACACAACACTGAGTCGCCAGTGGGCAATGCGGATGAAATTGGGGTCATCCCACTCAACCGCACCTCGTAGACGACTGCACCCACGCGCTGTTAAAATGTTTTGCCCAGCAGATTACCGGTCGATTTCTACTACTGATCGGTCTGTCAGTGACAATATCTGAAAATTTGGATGAAGTTGTCAGGATCAACCAACTAGGGGACTCTGTGTGAGAGGCGTCGACAGTGAACACTGATGTTGCGCTGTTGACGGTAATGATGTTGACAGTCCTGAGACCGCAAAACAGATTTATGGAAGGTGACTGAAGCCGGAAAACTGGGAAAGATTGGCGTTCAAGGTGATAAACACGAAATTGGCTCTTCAACTTAGTTCAGCGGCGTATTCGAGCTCAGTTTCCTCTGCTCGCGAGGCCTAAAAACAGGACTGTCACGCGTGATAACGCTACAATCTACTTCATACCTTATCACACTGGCCTATTGGCACCACGTTGATGACTCGCAGAACTTGGATATTTTTCACAAAAGTTTCATCGCCAATAGAGGTGCTTGGTAGTGGATTGGAGTGCATGGACGATAGGCTATCAGCATTCAGCGAAGCTCCAGTGGGTCTAACTTTTTTGTGCATTCGGTGTACAAGTTGAATAATGGTGACGTTACCTCGTCTGGCAAGGTGCTCTCAATGAAGCAGTCTCATAGGGTACACAACTTGACAGCGCCTCAAATTCGCGAATGTATTTGCAGCCAACTTTATGCGCGTACCAGTGGTTGACGGTCCGTATGAATTTTTTTACGAATATTGTGTGAGTGAACCATTCGTAAATGAATTGTGCAGTGTACCCTAAACTGAACGCACCTAATCCACAGTTAGCCGACCGACCTCACAACCCCATTCGGTTCACAGCTGCCAGAAACCAGCCTGCTGTCGATGATGATGATGAAACCAGTCTTCAAGGAAGCACTATTACTTAATCGCCCCCAGTCAGAGTTGCATTAGTATGGAATAGCTCAGCAGTTGAGGCAAAAGACTACTGAACGGACAGTCCGCGGTTCGAGTGTAACCCTGGCTTTTCGATTATTACTGCTGAATTGTGCAGCTGGGTAGTATCTCAACCCTATTGCTTCTTTCGGGTTGCCTGGCGGCTGTCCACCGAAAGGATGCCACCGTCGAACGATCATTGTTTTATTATTTGTTTGTTTTGGTTACTTATTCGTTTATTTTACGCATTTAATCCATTTATTTGTTTGGAGTTGTATGCTCATAGTCGACTAGCTATCTGCTTCATAGCTCTTAAAGTTGCTTGAGTAGTACATCCGGCGTTACCATTGTTGGGATATAGGTAGCTCATGTTGTAGGCAGAACCGCTGACCTGTTAACTGGACTGCGCAGTTTGGAAAACCTCATCATCAAGTGATAGTCATGATGGCTTGCAACCAGAATGTCGAGCTCAGTGAACAGAACTCCGGACACTGTTCGATTATGTTCAATCCACTTAAAGTTTTGGGTAGTGCACAAAGTTCTGATCTTTAAATTTGCTTAACCACAAATTAGAAAGAGATGAAGAGTACGTTTGTTGGTGGGCGTGTACGTCACCTAAGGATGCTCCTGCCACAATTATCTGTGGTTGTACGCCACTTGTTGCCACGAATAAACTGAACCTTACCGTGATGTGACGGTTTGTGCCTCCGTGTCCCACTGAGCTATTCTGAGGGATGCCCGTTCGACATTCGCACGATCAATCATACCAGGTTGGTTGGTCTGACTAATGGAGTCTCCTGATCTTCCAGGTTGGGGGTCGAAACATGTGTGGCGAGTTGTTCCTTAAAAGTGGTAATCCACTGGCATTTACTGCCAAACACTCCTGCATTTTAAAGACCCTAATAGTTTTGCTGTCTGGGTCTGGGCGACCTTGCGGTGTCCGATCCCACGTAAAACCGTGGCGATTGAGATTAGCAATACTGTCATGCCCAATCGGCAGTCGCGTGGCGTCATCAGCCGGGTCGCCTTTATGCATACAGCTGGGTAGTTAAGCGGAAACAGGCCACTGATTTCACATATTTTTCTTCCCCCACCCCATCAATAACTCTCCCTGAAGGCCCCATTCGTTCAGACTGACGACCCCGTTCATCTCGCATCGGTTTTTGGATCCAACAAGTGCGCTTGAATTGGCGCCGACAGCCTCAGGGATCTCCAAACCAGTCTTCAAGCCTGGGCGCCCGGTCTACCTGGCTGCTTCTGATATTTGCACTCTGAAGCAAGCAGAACAACAGGCAGCTCTTGCTTTCATACCGGACTCGCTTGACGCAAATGTGCTATGTATCAGAAACGAGAAATCAGGCACAGTGATTGAACAACTCATCAACCTCAATTCGCTTCCATCTGCGCACCGCTGGCTATCTAAAAGCCACTGTGGAAGGATGCGCAAGGGTTGGCATTGTCCTAAGTCATCTGGCAAAAGAATCGTTGCTTGACTGAATGTCGGTTGACGGTCGCCTCTGTGAGGTTTTTCTGGGAACGTCCTTGAGGAAAGCTGACCATTGTCTGTCTGTCGTGTCCGTTTACGCACCAAAGGATTGTAGTCCTGACAGTATCTAAGACAAGTCTTACGAGCCCGCTACGACGGGCTTGAAGTTCAGATATGCTTTCGATGGTGATGATACCACTTATGCCGAATAGCCGTCTATCGAGATCCATGGTAGAAACAAGGAGGCATATCACACAACCTAGGGCTGTAGGGGTGCTGTGCTCCATCTAAGTACCTCTTCTCCGAAGACAACGAGGATGAACGGATTCAAAGGTTTCCCGAGTAGTCTTCGTATCTTCTTTCCAATCTACACCTTGTGCATATTTCACCACAGATACTCCCAACTTGGTTAATGCCTGCAGCCTTCACAAATTACATAAGTTCATAAGCTAAATAAACTTCAGGAATTTTTGTCCACTTCGTTAACCTAACGATCTCTGTCATTTTTGCAGTGGTGGACGTGCTTCTCTAAGCGCCGATTTCTGGACCAAACCCTCACCCCCCCTGGCGTCTTGTGATGGCCAACGTACCCTACGGAAGAGACAAACATCCAACAGCTCTATCGCATGCTTTTTTTAACGTTTCGTTTTCAGACTTCTTCTGAACACTATTCTTATGACTTCACTGCAACAATTGTCGTCTTTTGACCGCTTTTGTCGGCTTGCTCAAAATAAAATGCCATACCCAGCCCGTACCCGATTGACCGCTCGTTGTCATCACTACTATCGTTCTATCCGTTTCTTATTCCCGTTGATACAACTCCAAGCAGTACCGTTTATTTCGGGAGGTGTAGAAATATCCGCTGATATAATTCTCTTTTTAGTTTTTTTTTAATGTTCGTAATGGTAAAATTGGAACGATAGCTTGAAAATAATCGTTGCAGTTATGCAGTAGCCGACCCTGAATTTTCGTCTTAGCATACCCAACTGATGTGTTGCATTAAAGGTCTCAAGCAGACTCCTCTACAAGACAGCCATGGTGACGCAACTAAACTGAATATTGTCCTTAAGCGTGAAGTGCTGATGCCAATGGCTATCGCTTCATGAACAGGTCGGACGATTCTCAGTTTGGATGGCAGCCCCAGTCACCGCGGAGTAGCGCGCACACGGAGGATAGTTTTCCATGAACAGCCGAATAATGAACTTTCATTGGGCCCTTGGGGCAGTCATTATGTTTGCCCCCCCCCCTCGGCGGAGACAGATTATTTCGCGCAAACCTGAGGAATGCCAACTCCAAGATGTTTTAGTATAGTGAATGATAGGTACCAGCAGGATTTAGGGCTGCTTGGACTCAAGGATTTTCTAAGGGTGTGCGAGATATCTGCTAGTCAATGACGCCCACAGAGTGGAGCGAGGAGCATTGTTGAAAACTCCGGAAGTGCAGTCGACGGTGGCAGTTAGTGTCCTGTTGAGTTAATATCTGTGTACATATGGCGAGTAGTTAGAAGAAGCGCCTTCAATAAGTACCCAGTGGGAACTCTCCACATTCGAAGAATTCGTAGCCCTACGGGGTACAATTACTGCACGAAGTAGCACCGCGCTCAGAAACCGGCAACATACGCAACCAACAGGCTCCACTTCCTCTCCACTGGCTCGTATGACTCACCTGCGGTGTGCGGTATGACGCAAGCAACTGAATGATATCCTGTGACCTAGTGTTCAAACTCCATTAACCTAATCAGAGATTTTGCTCTCATGGTGTGCCTCTGTGTGCGGTGGAAGATCGCGTCTGACCGGTACCGTTTGCGGCAGCCTCGGAGTTAGTAGCGGACACTCTTGCTTCAATGCCACACACGCACAACATTGCTGAAAAAGTAGTATTGTTACAGGAAACGGATGCGTCTGCCAGATATTCTAATGTGTACACATCCAAGCAGAATTATAGGAGTTTGAGGAAAATCAGGAATTCTGAATTCAGCTGGCAATCATGTATATGGTGTTTACGCGAACCACATAGTAGACGTATACTGCGGACAGCACCCAAAGCTTTCAAACTTGTTTCATATCCTAGAGTGGCACCCATACACCGAAAGGCAACCTACATAACATCCAACGGGATATGCTTCAGATGTAACCCGTTTTGAATGCCCCAGCCATACGACTCAGGAGCTATACACAGCTTTCCTACCTACAAAAATTGACGGAAGATTTCAAAGATGGGGAAGATTCCCAAACAGATATTTTTCGTTTCTCAGACTAACTGACGAACGCATCAAAGCTGATTTCATTGTGGTGTGTGCATCAACTGCTAAGATTCCCAACAGATATTTTTCGTTTCTCAGACTAACTGACGAACGCATCAAAGCTGATTTCATTGTGGTGTGTGCATCAACTGCTACGGGGTGCAGCATATGTAAAGACCGAAAAGTCGTCCCATATTACTGTTTGCGTAGCAGTCACCTTCGACATACGAATCACAAGACCTGAAAGTTAGATACCAGCTCACCCTCAGCGACAGAGCTTGAAGTGAATCGACCCGACGGACTAACGTGGTAGTGACATGGCCTGCGAAAGTTAGAAGGTAGACCTTTCAGCTCGCATCGGTGGCTTTGTGGTAGTTTGGAATGCGTTTGAAGTAACTCAGTTAATTCTGCATGTTAGAAAACCGACTATTTCATACATCAGTACAACGTCCGACCACCTACTTTCCTCGATACGATGACGCCAAATTAGATCCTAACACGCAGCTCATTCAGAATATCGCGGTTATCCTTTCGTACCACCAAGATCGTGGATAGGCGTACTTATAGCCCTGATTAAGATTCGATTGAAATAGTATAGCACGCTGACGGTGTAGGTGCCGCTTGCCTTCAGTCATCCGATGGCAGACGCGACCTGCAGCTTTGTAAACGCCGCATCCATTTCTTCGGACATGAGTGACCCGCGGGGCACTTCACCATAGTGAAATTCGCCATCCATTCTGAGAATTCAAGATAGAGGCACTGAGGGCACGTGCGCGTAGCCACAGCGGGTAACCATAGGAGGGTTTCAGCGCGAACTTGTTGGTTCGAAGTTCGGAATCCACCACGGTATTTCAACCGGTCCTGCCTGGGCTTGGACAAACCGGCAGTACCTCAAACTCCGAGCTTTCTTCGGATTGAACAGCACCAAGGTGTTATAGCTGAATGATTATCGACAGAGTTGTGGGCGTTCGCATGCTGCAGTTGCAAAGACAAGAAGCAAGCCACCAAAGCCCACTTTGCTGTTTCCCAATGAAATCATCACTGCACTCCAACTACCCAATAGCTATATTAACAAGCTACTCGACTTCCGAAACAGACTATCCTCACTCGTTTGATCTGCTATGGAGGAGAATGGTGGTAGCTCACGTAACAAAGATGGTTGCTGGTTTGTTCAATGAGCTGGGTAATTTGATTGCAAACGTTTAGTCACCAATCGAGGTGACGTCATCAGTGTGTTGTTAGGGAGTGTAGCGATCGGTCGGTGGTTGTGCGTTGAATGGTGCTGCGTGTGTGCTAATATACGTACTGTGAGCCAGGTCTGACCCTCTACCACGATTGACTGTTTGGTTGGGCGGTTCCACTGGTTGTTCTGCTATCCTGTATCCTGACCGGTCGATAGCCAAATGACCTTTGAGCCTGGCCTCCGTTGCCCTCGTACTCCGATCGATGCTGGACCCCATTTATGCGCCACTACATACGGACAGATTCATCCAATGAAATACTAAAGGAGAGCCAAATATCGGATTCACAGACCAACAAGTAATGAAGTCCTCGGTGTCGAATAGACAAAGTTCGGAAGCCGGAACCAAGGGGGGTCAAAGATCACTCCAACATCGATCAGAGTACGACGGCAGGGAAGACCAGGCCCAAAGGTCACGTGGTCATACATCGATCAGGTCATAGGATAACCAATGGAACCGCCCAACCGAACAATCAGCCGTGGTCGAAGACCAGCTCCGGCTAGCAGTACGTATACTAGCATACTCAACACACAAACAACGACTCATATCTACGCTCCCTAACAGCGCACTTGTGCTGTCACCTCGTTTGCGATCGAATTGCCAAGCCCATTTGATTTCGTTTATTAACATAGGCACGCCGCAATACGTCTCCCAGATCGACAAGAGAGTGCCGGTCCGAAGACCATCGACTCTTAAGCGCAAGCCACCGCCAGTGGGTCAATGCTCCAGAAGACAATGGCACTGAACCCAGGGGCATAAGTGCGGTTACCCCACCTCCGGAAGCAGGACAACGCGGCCTAGGGGTCTGACAGGCATGACACCAGCCGACTACACCGAAGCCTGGGACATCACCGCGCGGACCACGGGACGTCCCACCAGAGCGCGCAGAGCAGCACGCGCTACCTGTTATCGTGCCCGCAACCCAGCACAGCGGACCAGGAGCTACATCTAGCGGATTATCGTGCCCGCACAGCGGACCAGGAGCTACATCTAGCGGGACTTGCTACCAAACCAGTCACCACCCCGGGGAGTACGACCACGAATACCCCAAGTCTAACCGACCAAACGTTTCCTATGGGCCACTGGGAACGCCCGTGCACAGCCCACAGTAGCCCAGGGTAGACGAGCCAGGCAATGACTTGGCAAGCGTGGAAGCCACTATCGTCAAACTCAGTCACGCTTGTTATTGGCTTCTCGCTGGATAGGGACGGACGTCTTTGGAAGCACTGCCAGACATTGCTCCTAATGACGCTTGCGCACCCAAGCTATAGCTTTCAATGTTGTTTCCTTCCAAACACCCACAAAAGTCGCGTACTTACGAACCAACTAATTGGCTTCCGCATCCAATGCATAGCCACCTACCCTACCACACACCGTAGACAAGCGAACGATGATATCCCCGACCGGTGCCTCCCGGACATTCGGTAATAGCCCAGCCAACAGACGTTATCGTGAGTGACCCCTGATGTCTTTCATGATTAACTAAACCAACACACCGATAGCGAAAGAGTTACATAAGTTATAATTCAATGCATAGGAACAATATGTACAGAGAAAAATACTAATAAGAACCGGAGCGGGAGCGAGACCCAGAGCCGCGACGACGTGGGCTTTGAGAAGCGCGTGCATCACGCCGGTCGTGCCTTCTGCTGCCTTTACCGTCTTCTACACCGTTATGACTAGGAGACCGGGAACGGGTTGGGGATCGCGATCGGGAGGCTGAGCGTCGTGCATC